GGGGAGGGGTAGGTGTCGGGGCGGGGGGGGCGTGGCTGGGCTCTGGGGAGGGAGCGGGATAGGTGTGTGGGTGGGGGGGGCGTGGTAGGGCTCTGGGGAGGAAGAGGGATAGGTGTCTGGGCTGGGGGGTGCGTGGTAGGGCTCTGGAGAGGGAGAAGGATAGGTGTCTGGGCTGGGGGTGTGTGGTAGGGCTCTGGGGAGGAAGCGGGATAGGTGTCTGCGCTGGGGGGGCGTGGCTGGGCTCTGGGGAGGGAGAGGGATAGGTGTCTGGGCTGGGAGGGGCATGGTAGGGCTCTGGGGAGGGAGAGGGCTAGGTATCTGGACTAGGGGGGCGTGGCTGGACTCTGGGGAGGGAGTGGGATAGGTGTCTGCGCTGGGGGGGCGTGGTGGGGCTCTGGGGAGGGAGCGGGATAGGTGTCTGGGCTGGGGGGGCCCCGTGGCTGGGCTCTGGGGGGAATGGGGTGTGGGTATCTGGGCTGGGGGAGGGGCCCGGTTGAGCTCTGGGGAGGAGGGGATTTGGATGTATTGGCTGCGGGGGGGCGCAGGTGCACTCTGGGGGGAGGGGTTGGCCCCCCCTGGGGAGGAGGGGATTTGGATGTATTGGCTGCGGGGGGGCGCAGGTGCACTCTGTGGGTGTCTGGCCCCCCAGCTGGGCTCTGGGCGGGGCGAAGGGGGCAGAGAAACAGCAACTTGGTTGCCGTAAGGGTTTCTTTAACTCTCTACTTCTGGGGGAAATTTTGTGCGTGTCTGTTAGTTTATAAGGTGCCACAGGACTCTTTGTCGCTTTTTACAGATCCAGACTAACACAGCTACCCCTCTGATACTTGTATTGTTACAGATATACTTGCTGATAGCTATTTTGAAATAAATTACCAAAACAATTAAAACTGGCGTGATTATGTAGTCTTATTTTGACAAATAACATTTGCAGAATTTTAAAATATTGTGTGCAGAATGCCCCAGGGGTATCAGAGACACGGTGCTGTAGCAAAGCAGGGCTGGTGTGTAGTAAGTCACGCTGGTACAAGCTCTGTTTTCTACCAGTCTAGTGCATCTCCGCTGGGGGCCTGCACTGGGACCAAAACACCAGTCCAGACAGGGCCTTGCATCAAGGCCAGGCAGAATCTAGGCCTATAGAAATACAAACCCTGACCCCCTTCTATCCAGTGCTTTCCCAGTGGGTTTCAGTGCCGAATAATGTCCCAATTCCAATGTTAGCAGGTGAGTCGCAGCCTTTTACACTCTGTCAAGGGCAGCGTTAATGATAGATGAGTATTTTCTATTGCATTTAAACACAAGTCTAGTTAACTCTGAGATATGTTAAAAACAATGAGGGTTTCCTTTAAATGACCTTCAGCTGTCCAAGGCTCTCTGGTGAATGTCGTATTATCCAGCACAGAGAGAGGATGTGGGGGAATGATGGGGCAATAGTGGTGGCTGTTCGTTCAGCAAATCGTGCTTTTCATTGTGCTTTGGAAAAGGAGCTTAAAAAAAATGTGGCCCAAGGGAAAGAGAACAGCAGCTTAACAACAACAGACTGCACCCTCCCCCACGGCCCCATGCCACCAGTGTGCATGTTTTCAAGGGCAGGCTAGGAAACCTGTGGTCGCTTTGATGTCTTCCCTATGTAGACAATTGAGCTGAGTCATAACCCACACTAAAGAGCTTAGCTGCTAATCAGTTTGCAGTAGCATCGTGGGAATCTTATTGCTCGGGGGTGAGTTGGAAAAGGCATTAAGGGACGGACCCAACTTCCTCTGAAATCTGTGGAAAGATTCTGGCTGATTTCCCTCCGAGCTGGATCAAGCCCATGACTGCTGGAGGAACCTGGAAGAACATAGCTCTGTCTAAACTGGACATTTATGTCATATTCATTGATGTTTCAAGAATGATTTAACTATCTTTTGGGGGCTAAGTGATAGCTTGTTGTGTCCACTGTCTCACGTAGGGGGCTGTCCCAGGAGGAGATTGGAAACCAGACTGTGACTCAGTTTCCATCTGATCCCTGGACC